CTGATTTCTCAGGAATCAAAGTATTAATTGAAAAGCTATCAGATATGAAGCACTTTAACTTTTGGTATTAGTTACCAAAGGCTTTATTAAAAAATTTATCTTTTTTATGGATGGCTCTTGGAAATAATTTTATAACTTGCAATGAATTAAAACCAGATACATACATAGGGTATGTACATTTGTGAAATGGAACAGAGAAAAGGTTAATAAAGGATCCAGGAAAAGAATATAAAATGTCTCTAGTTTTATATTATCCTCTATTCTGTGAGGATACTTATTAAAGGAGGCTAATGAATGGCTATTCACTTGACAGAAGAATGTTTTTTGAGTCTCCTGATAGTTTTTCCATTATTTCACAAGAGCAATCTTTGGAAGTACTGAGAGGTGTTATTTTATCTTCTAAATGATGTTAAATCTATCAGCATTTAGTATTTTCTTCAAAAAGAATTTCTGATGACTGACATATATTCAGACTAGAGAGTAGATAGATACTCTTAAGAGAAGATATGCTACAGTAATGATACTTCATGAAACTTCTGAGTTGTCTTTGGGAAAAGTTAACAGACTTTTTAATTTTCTTCAGGAAAAATATGACCACTGATAAATTATTATCCTCCATAACTGTAAATTCAGATTTATTTGCCAACTTAGGAACAGGAAATGCCACTGTCTTAATGAACGTAACAGCGAGGCAGTAAATGGACGCCCTCTCTCTCTCTCTCCCACTCACAGGGCTGATTCAGTCTGATGGAAAAGCCACGGGGTGGTGCTCAATGTGCTGAGGTTAGGGCAGTGCAAACCCTTCTCCAAATCTCCAGGCCATGTGTCCCCTTAGGATCCTCACAGGTGGGGAGATCCCAAGCCCAGGAAGAGCTGGACATGACTTACTGCTAAGTTAACTATCAGTGTGGGGAAGAAAGCGCCCACCACTATGTTCTGTACTTGAAGGTATTCTATTCGGCAGTCCCTAAATTCTCTGCCATATGAGAAAATGATGATTCATAGGAAAAGCTGGTGGTTTTATCTCTGTATGATAACAGTAATAAAAGAGGATAGGGAGTGGTCGGGTATAGCTAAGACCTGAGTGAGCATGGCACAATCTGGGGCACTGGGGCCACCCTTCTGCTGTGACTTAGTGGAGTCACAGGTGTGAGAGAACAGGTGCCCCAAGACAACCTGAGCCCCATGTGCAGCCTGTACAGGACAAGATGGAGGAGGGGAGGTGAGCAAAAAATCTCATGGGCTCTTTCCAATCCACTGTTGGAAATGATGGATAGTTTCACTATGGATGTTCTGAGCATATAACAATAAATACCTAGAAAGCAAAACAATACAGTATAACCTAGTAGAGTTTGCAATCCTGTCCTAAGTCTTTTTGAAGAAAAAATAAGGGTTAAAGAAGTCTGTTTTTTTTTTTTTTATCTATTGGGTACGACAGTGATCAAAGCAGCATTATGCAGAATAACCAAAAAGTGGTAACAGTCCATATGATCCATGACAGATGAATGGACAAACACAACTGTGGTCTATACACACAATGAATAGTATTCAGGCTTAAAAAGGAAGAAAATTCTGTCACATGCAACAACATGGATGAACCTTGAGGACATTATGTTAAGTGAAATAAGCCAGTCACAAAAAGACCAATGTTGTATGACTCCTCTTTCATGAGGTACCTAGAATAGTCAAATTCATGGACAGAAAATAGAACGGTGGTTGCGAGGGACCGAGGGAAGTGGAATGGGGAGTTAGCGTTCAATGGGGACAGAGTTTCAGTTTTGCAAAAAAAAAGGTGAAAAAGTTCTGGACAAGGCTGGTGGTGATGGTTACAGAAGAATGTGAGTGCATTTATTGCCGCTGAAGTCGTACATTTAAAAATGGATAAAATGGTCAGTTTTATGTTATGTATATTTTGCTACAATAAATACAAGGGGAAAAAAGATGATTGAAATTTAAATAGTATAACTAATTCATTGTTTTGTGTCTGCTAGTGAATACCCACTAATTTATGAGACATTACAAAATCACAAGAGAACCATCTGTTCTGTGTGCTATTTCCACCTAGGATAGCATTTCTTGAAAGGTAAACTTGTGCTAGAAGCTCTTTCAGGATCTTTGAGAGCAGACAGTAAGGTAAGTGGCCCACTGACATTTATTTCAGGGACTGACACCACCTGGGAGCTGCAGGGAGGGACAGAAGGAAGGAGATGGTATTCCACCTTCTAAATAGTTGTCTCCCAAGCCAACAGAGACCTCAGGGAGAGGCAGAAACTTAGCCTCAGGGATGGTCCATGGGGGCAAAGGGCCAGAGATCATGTGTGGGGGATGGGAAGGGAATCAGGTGTCTTTATTCTCATTTCAGAAAGGGTGACATTTAAAAAATTGGGAGATGAGTTCACAGGCATTCATTTTATTGTCTGACTTTAAACTTCTATACCCCCTGTGTTCCTTTCTATCAAATATTTTGTAAATTTATTCCAGTTGCTTATTCTAATTTTTTAAGTTGTGTTTAATTGCTAAATTATACGATTACATTTAAAATTTCCCTCCTGATTCCATAACAAAATTATTAAATCATTAACTATTCACTTATATGTAATGTTAGAAGGGAAAAAGGTCCTTAAAAATACATCATCTGGAATCTTAAATGTTTTAATGATTAAAAATGTATGTCATCAAAATCTGCTGATTCTCAATCTGGTGATTCACCTGGCCATTATAAAACAACAACAATAAAACAGCTATTTAAAAAAAAAAACATGTAAGAGTAGAGATCCTATCCCTTAGGTCCCCATCACTCAGCTTTTTGAACATTAACTTCTGGGCAAGCTGGCTTCGTCTGTGCTGCTGCACAGCTCCTGCCTCCTCTGACGTTACTTTGAAGCAAATCCCAGACATGATGCCATTTTATCCATAAATATTTCAGCATGTGTCTCTAAAAGAAAAGGATTGTTTTTAAAACATACCTGCAATGACATTATCACACCGAATAGTTTAACAGTTCGTTCACAGAAGTGAATGGTACCTCCTGGATAGTTTTAATGATTGTTTCGATAAGCTGGCCTCATTCGTGCCAAGAGTATGGGGCGGCAGAAGAGCGCAGTGCAGTTGCTGTTGGCTTTGAAGTGAGTTAGAGCCCAGTACGAACCCAGTTCTGCTATAAGTAGCTGGGTGACCTGGGAAAGTTACTTGAACTCTGAGTCTTACATCTGGAAAGTGGGAAAAGTAATTCCACCCACCTTAAAAGAGTGTTACATAATTAAATGAGGAAAAAAATACACACACACGGGTGGTAGCAGACACTCCATAGATGCCAGCTATTATACTAACAGCTAATTCATCTATGTTCATAAGTAAAAAACTTCCTGCTGGAAACTATGAATCATTGTTCAAAAAACTGTTTGGAACCACTTGGACGGTGACAGCATCCCAGTGAACCACCAGAGGTCGGCAAGTTTGTAAAGGACCAGGCTGTAAGGCTTTGCAGGTTGAGACTAGAGGCAAAAGCAGCCAGACACAAAAAGAAAACGCTGGGCTGTGCCTGCGTTCCAATACAGCTTTACACATGGCCTCTGAAATCTGAATTTCACGTAACTTTGTGCGTGTCATGAAATACTATTCTTGTTTTTTTCCTAACTGTTTAAAAATGTAAATCATTCTTAGTATTTGCTACAGTGCCCATTAAATTAGATAGTAACAGACCAGCGCGTAGTTGGCAAAAAGAAAACCACTCTTAGCCTGTGGGCCCTGAGACAAGACAGTGGTGTGGCTTTGGCCCACGAGCCCTGTTTACCAGCCCTGAGCTATTCCATGTCACCAGCCCCAACACACACACAAAATCCTGAGTGGGTGCTCGCTTTCATTACTGAGAAGAGTTTAATTCACAAGAACAATAAAAGTACAAGCATTAGTATATGACAGTAATATTAAGGCCTGGCAGCCCTGGACCATTCCTAAGCTTTGAGAAACACTGCGGGAAAGTCTCAAGGAAGCCTACCCCTAGCCTGTGCTCAAATCGCTCTGCCCTGGCATCCCACAGGAAATCACCCCCCTCACATCCCCACGGGGTGGGGTGCTGACCCGCGCCCTGACCCCATCTCCCCCACGCCCTGAGCAGTTGAAAAATCCTTAAAACTTAACTCCTAATGACCTACTGTTACCTGGAAGACTTACCAATAACATAAACAGCAGATCAACACACATTGTGTGTATGTATCACATACTGTATTCTTATAATAAAGTTGGCTAGAGAACATGTTTTTTAAAATTGTCACAAATCTCAGAAAAATTTCCCAATACATGTATTGAAAAAAATCTACATGTAAGTGGCCCCAAACAGTTCAAACCTATGTTGTTGAAGGGCCAAATGTATTTAGATTATGACATATGTAATGTGATGGATAGTTTCACTATGGATGTATCTTCTACACTTCTCTGATAAAACAATTTGGAGGCGTGACTTGACTTGGAAATGATCAGAATTCATATAGTGAGTAGAATTAATATGCAGATTGTGTTGTATCTCAGTTAATCAATGCTGCACTGCTTCTAATAAGCAGGCAATCCCTCTACCCTGTCCCCCACCCCCAAACTGGTCATTTCAACCCCAACAATGACTTTTGAACAATGGAAACACAAGAACCGCACGGTCCAGGTGCATATTCACAGCTACACGTTGCAGTGTTTTTCTTTTCTCCATGAGACTTTAATAAAAAATAACCAAACATTTCTTTTCCTCTACAATTTTGCTATATATAAAGTCACATAAATCAATCACAGTTCTTTTACTACCAAGAATGAAGGAAGCTCTTGGCTTCACTACCTGACGAATGCTCCCATGTGAAAACTGATGCATGAACTTTGTATTATTAAGGAAAGCAATGGAATGAACACACATATCCAAAGAGAGATCTTTTGATTCACATTCCCTCAAAGGGATAAACTTATACAAATAGATAATTTCCCGTCTCAAAATTACAAAAGGCCAACGTCATGCTTACTTTCTCTAAAGGCTTTACAGTAGCCAAGGAAGGAGAGCAGGAAGAACAGGGCGCCTAGGAGGTCTGCACGGCCGACCACACCAGCAACCTTAAAAGAAAGGGAAGGAAAGAAAAAGATTTCAGTAAAAAAAAACCCTTAAACAAATCCTAACTTCAGAAATACAAAAACTTCCTGGTTACTGGGAAGCAAAAACTTACTAGACTTAGCCATCAGTTAAAATAATCTGTGGAACTATCCCCACAGGGTCTTGTCTTACACTCAGTTTTCTTCTCAAGTTTTGGTTTAGGACTGGAGCTAACTGCTTTGGAGAGAAAGCCGAGTCGGTTTGAACCTACTGACGGCTATTCTGTGAGACAGACAGTCAGCAATGCATGTGTGCCGGGACAGCCCTGTTACCCTGCATGCTGTGCCCTTCAGCTCCAGGCATCGGAGCTTCTAATGTCCCCACAGTGGACTGTCAACTGGAAAATGTGATCAGCTCACAGGGCATGACATTTAGAAAAGAAACTATGATTGGAAAGATGAAGGCAGGAAATAAGTGGTAGAAGCCATCAGGCAGGTAGAAAAAGACACAGGAAAAATTGTTCAAAGCTCCGTCTGCCACCTTTTCCTCCTTTCAGACCAAAACCGATTCAGTGGGTTACCCTGGAAAGCAGAATGCTTTAAAAGTGATTGACAGGTAAGATGAGAACCTACCACTTCCTTCCCTGCACTTTGTACAGCTGATGACTACCCTTCCCTTCTTTACCTTAGTGACGATGAAGCAGTAGAAAATTTTTGTTTTATTTCCTTCAGACTGATCACTCCAGTAATTGTTCTCCAAATGTTTCACGGCATGAAAGACATGGAAATCCACTCATGCATTATGGTCTAGTTTATGTGGCATTCTTTACTAACTAGCACCTGAGTGTCACATATATCAAAGCTTTACTTCAGTTCTCTAGATGTCACTTTAATGGCTGGTAAGTTTATCTATTCTTAAAGAGCATCTAGATATATGATACTGAGATGAAATAAAGACTATTCTGTAAGTGGAGATAAGGGAATGCATACTGGTATGAAAATCACTGTATTTATGTACAGCTGCCAAGTATGTATAAAACAATAGCTAAAGAGAATGCCTTGTAGGAGTCGTTTCCCTCTACAGTGGGTAGATAAGCAATGTTGAGGGTGATTATCTCTTTGTACTGTGAACTCCTGACAGAGGGGGACGTGGCAACCCAGTGTCACGCCATCACTAAGACTCAACAAGCTGGTGAATACAACCTGTGAATACCACCTGCACGAAAAATCTTCCAGGAAGGAAGCTAAGGACAAAGGTTCAACAGATCTGGAACAAGTATGCCAGAGTGCTGAAGGGTCAGACAGTACAACTCCATGAACGAAGTGACTGTGTAATGAGAGTTCGTAATCCTCTGGTCTGTGACTCAGTCACTGTAATATCAGGGTGGCGGCAGAACCGAACAGAGCCCGGCACACAGGAGGTACGGCTCGCTGGGAGATCCCTGCGTGCGCCCCCGAGGGTGCGTCTACGAGCCGGGACAGACAGGCAGGGACAGCGGACACTGCAGCAGGGCAGGGAGCAACAGACGAGCAGCTGGGGCAGCGGGGCCTGCAGACCTCGTGTGCGGCGATGTGAGGGAAGGAAGTGCGCCTTCCAGCTGTGGGCCATCTACAGGGCCTGAGGGTGGCTGGAACCCCAAACCCTTACGGGGAACACAGTAACTGCAGCCAACCAAGAGTAGCTTATCCAAGGGGGTCTCTAGAGCAAGGGCATCAGATGAAGCAGGGAGTGGGGATCTGGGGGGTCAGAGGACAGGTTTCTTGAAATGAGTGAAGGGGAGGGAAGTGCTCTGGATAATCACCAGATATGGTGCCCAAACATCCAGCCTCCACCGTCTGTTATCTGGGTAGCTAAGGAACATTTAAAGACCTGCACTAAAATGAACTTTCAACATCATAAATTTATTTTTAAAATAAACATCCTTCCTTTGGCTAAATGGTAAAGACATTCCAAGTCTTTAGGCAATGTACAGTCTTCACCAACATAGGACTCCACATTTTTTTAAAGAGAGACCTGCCGGATCTACAAACAATTGTTTCAAAAGCCCGGCAGGGTACAGCAGTGTGAGAATTCGGGGGAAGCCTGTTTAGGGAACGAACCAACACAAGAGACAGCTTCTCGTCCTTACAGAGTGCGGATGCCGTGGGCAGACGGTACTTACACACTCGGTGTGCACGGGATGCACGGCGAACAGCAGCGCAGCCAGCAGAGATGATCTGGGAGCCAGGTTTAATCTCCGGCCTTTACTGGTGTACTGCAGGCCCCCGAACAGCACAGAGAAGACGTCCACCATGAGGACAGAGACGCCACCATGCAGGAGGATGTTGACCACATGGAAACTCACGGGGTGGAAGCCTCCAGACAGATAGTAGTTAATCCTGCAATAAAGGGAGGGCATGCACACTAGATGCGCTGATGCATGTGACCTAAAGTGCAAACTGTCACAAGGAAAAGGCTGGGGAGTGAAACTATTAAAGAGGAAGGCTGTGTGCAAATTGGGTAAAAACAGTGTCAAGATAAACAACTCCTCTCAAGCTAAGAAGGTAAGAAGATAATTAACAGCAGAGGGAAAAATGGAAGATGAGGGCATCTCAGGGGAGTGAGACAGAAAATACTTAAGAGGAAAAGCAAAAGGTAGGCTAGACAATTTTTTAAGTGCAAATAAGGCAAGACTGCATTCCAAGAAGATATAACACACCACACGTTACTCCTGGCTACCCTACTGGGACCTGGATTTAAGATAATCACGTAACTTGCTTATCCAAAAAGAGTATTCCTTGAGAGTTTGCCCACCAGGCTTTCTCTAATGAAACTTTCTCATGTCAGGGACTTTTATTTCTGACTGCATTTCAACTACTAGGGTTTCCAATTCATCACTGCCATGACTTTCTAGGAGATCTACACACAAGCATTTAATGCACCCAAGAAACAGCTGTGATGGGAACTTTTCTGAGATGAGTATCTCTGTTATAATGCAAAAGGGAGGTGAGATTGTTTTTAGCTTCATTTTGTTTTTGCATATTGACTTGGGAACAGTAGGAAGTTTTCATCTTATTATTTTTTTGTAGTGGGGAAAAAAAACACAATTTCACATGTTGCCTTAACTCATTTTGTTTCCCCGGCAAAAGGTCTAACCTCCAGGAACTGTACAAGATACAGGCTGTTTTCCACCAGTTTGCATGTCACTCTTTGTGCAGTGGCCATGCTAATCTCCTCTGTAGTGTTACACTTTTACTACCTGCACTGACGAGGCAGGCCCCGAGGTGACATGTCCTCATGCACATTCTGACTTCCTGTGACCTAACTCCTAATAGCTGGAATTAGCATGCACTTCTTGGAGATCCACATGAGTGAGTGTTTACTCTTCCCTAGGAACCACTGATGTGACTCCTTGACACTGGGAACCTTGTCACATACAACCTGGAACAATATCACGCACAAGCCTTGGGTGGCCCTACCGTACAGCGTGCTGTCACACATCACCTGAAGGTCAGCACGGTGAGAGGTCGGTAGGACTTGTGGCTGGTGTTGCTGCTCAGCCTGCTTCCCCAGAAGTCATGATGCCACAGGTCTCCGAGGGGCGTTTCTGCTCGGAGGTCCTGCAGGAACACACAGAGCACATTCTGGACGAAGGAGGCAGGGCTCCTTCCTCCGCCCGCACCTAGGCTCTCACCGGGGGCTCTTGGGTAAGGTCCCTCACACCGCCCTTCTCCGTCTCTCCCACCAGGCCGGGGCCCGGCTGCTGGCCTCACTCACAAAGGACAGCCAGTCCTCCTAGGGGGTCCACTGCACCTTCTTACATGTTCTCCGTGTTGCTCTCTCCAAAATGCAAAGTGGGTCATCCCGCCCTTCCTTGCTTAAAACACTGCAGTAGCTCCCCCACCTTGGAACAAAGCTGGGGTCCTGAGGTGGATGCTACAGCTCACAGGCGCTACAGGCTCAGCTCACAGACTCCGTGCTCCCGCTGCTGGCCTGGGTCGGGTCCCCACAGCTCCTGCCGGCCCTCTCCCAGAGACTTCGCACGGGCAGGCCTCCACCCAGATGGCCACCCCACGACTGTTCACCGCTCAGCTCCTCCCATTGTTCACATCTTGGCCATACAGCTATGACCTTTCTGAGCTGATGCAAGTCCCCTTCTGTGGGTCTTGGGGCATCATAGTGCCTGGCACACTGGTGATGTGTAATTTGGAACTATTATCTGCCTGCCCCCTGGACAGGGGCTCCATGAGGTCTGGGCCACATCTGTGTTTGCTGGCAGTACACAGAAGGTGCTTAATCCATGTTGAATGAATGAGTGGACCACATAGCTAAATGAGATCATTATTACCCTCTCTCACATCCAATACATAAGGCGATTTCCCAAAAATATCCAAGTTAAAACATAAAACTGGATAGGTATATATATTTTAAAGTTTCCCATTTTTGATCATAAGCTAAGCAGATAGTAAATTGAAGGAGAACTTCCACATAATTTTTAAAGATAAAAATCATTAAATATTATAAATATATATATCTCATTACTAAGGTAATTTATTTTGGTACTGTATTACAGATGCTTAAAAATGCATTATTTTTTAACATTTAAATGTGAAATTAGATTGCTTAAAACTGTGTCTAACCAAAAAGGTAGATATGAGGCACTATGGAGTAAGTAACAAAACTGAATATTAAGTTTCTCTTTAAGGCATAATTTAACAGTAATATTTTAGGGACTGGAAATTATAATATGCTAAGTACCACATGTGTATTGGCCAAGACTCTTTGTGGCAGTAATGAAAACCAACCCTGATTAACGTAAGCAGGAAAGGAATGCTTAATGAGGCTGCAAGCATCCCTGACCCCCGGGGGGGCTGGAAAACCAGGTTCCGGGCTGTGCAGCCACCAGCACATGCACAAATCACCACCCCCACTCCCTGGCCACCTTGCTGAGGCTGCCCGGCTGCCTCCAAACCCCATCCTCTTTGCCTGACTAGCTCCTGGCTCCCACAGTGGGTGCACCTGCCGGTGAGCATGTGCCTTCATCTGCACCCAGACTGGATGCTCTTCACAGCTGAGGACAACCAGAAGGTGAGGGGGGGCTCCAGCAGAAGCAGTGTGCCCACTCCTGGATGGCCTGAAAGAGCAGGCGGTGTCCAGGCCCATTGGGGGAGCTCGGTAGTTGCTACTCCTTAAGCTCCTGCTGACTCAAAGGGACAGGCTTGTGGACAGGTGAGAGATGCACAGTGCGTCACCAGGGAGCCATGCTGAGGCAAAGCGCCCTTCCAGTGGGTATCAGCTGCAGAGGCCTCGAGCCTACAGGCCCCACTCTAAGACTCAGCAGGATATTTTGGGAAGGTCGGGTAACCCACCACTAACTCAGTCTCCTCAGCTACAAAACTGGAAGTCCATTTTGTTTTGCATTGTCCAAGTACCTGCTCAGCTGCAAAGGTGTTGGGCGGAGGATCCTTCCCTCCCTTTGAGCAGAAAATGAACACCAACGAAGCTTTAAATATTTGATTAAGTGTAGCCTACATACAGCGGGGTGCGCCACAGGAAGAAAGGTCAATGTTTCCTCATAATAATTTATGGAAAAGACGTTGTGTCTGATATTCCTGCTAGCTTCACTGGCTCAAAGAAAAACCATCATCTCAATGGAAGAAGGCAACTCCACAATACAAGGAAGCATCTGGAAAACAGTCTTTAACACCAATAAAACCCAGTAACAGCCTGTTTTACATTACTGTAGGCTCAGTGCCAATGAGCAGTGGAGTGCCTTTCATTAAACAGGAAAGGAAAAAAGGAGGGCTAGCAAGTTAACAAGGGGGTCCAGTGTGATGCTCTGGAAAACACTGCCAAGAGCACGTGCAGGAGAGCCACTGAACGGCTTCATCTGCTTTACCCCACACGGAAGGAGGGAGAATCACAACCAGGCCATCCCATATACGACAGAGCTCATGATGTCCCCAGCCTTGCTCACCAAGCTCTTCGAGGTAGGTTCTGAGTTAACGACGTTATACATCTCTCATGTCATAAAGGTGGAATGGTCAAGAAACTCTCACCGAAATGAAGATTGGAATTAAAAAAACAGTCATATCCTCATATCCTTGTTAGAAAAGCAATTCTGTCGCTAGTAAGCCACCAATGTGATATCTTTGCTTAGAGCTCCAGACTTACTTCATCTTCTTTTAAGCACAGCTTAAAAAAGAAATGAAACAAACATCTGCAGTAACTGCTGGGTGAACTGGAGGAAAATGACAAGTGGAGAACTTGAACTGAAAACAAACCCCAACCATACTGTGGTCCATGCCCTCAAAACAGAGAAAATCAATTACAGTATGTTACAAATAAAGTATGTATCCAAGTCATGCCCCCGACCCCTGCCCCACAGAATACATTTGTCACACAGAGAATTTTTCTCAACATTGTCAATATGAAAATGACTTTTTCCATATTTGACAGAATCCATGACTTCAAAATTTTAAGAGCGTTCAGCCACAGTGTTACAAAGAGTTGCTACAACTGCTTCTCCTAGAGAGAAGTGATTGCTCTCCTCCAGGCTCCCTTCACGTTCAGGCACACACAGAGGATCTGCAGAGTAACCAGATTGTTCCAAACAAAGGCTCTGACCTGTGCCATTCAGCCTTCTTTTTCCTCTGGGCCCTCCCTGTCTCCTAGTTTCTTGTTCAGACTTCCTTTTAGTTTGCTTAAACCTCTTTCTTCCCTTCCCACGAACCTATTTATTCTTCCCCATCTCAGTTAGTGAGTGGAAGAGAATCTCATTTTCCCTGCACCGAGAGAGCACCCACTGGTGAGCAACACTGGCTGGCATTTTGCAAACTCAGCAAATTTGAATCTCCAAACACGCACTGAGCAGGAAGCGCAGCATCCACGGGCGGCACAGCCCTTGTCCTTCAGCAGCTGTCGGCAGGCTGTCCTGATGCTATCAGCAAAGGGCAAAGAAGAAGCCAGCTCACTGCCTGCTGCCTAGGACGTGCCTTTTGGCAGGTGATCAGACTTGCCCATCACTGCAGCCAATGCATGCTTTTTTCAAATTTTTAAAAATAATTCTGGCCTAGAGCTCTGGAAATTTGTAACAAGACTGAAAGACTTAGTCTGCAATGCCCTGCAGTACCCTTGCCATGTAATCCTACAGTACCCATCTCTGACAGGATGCGCAATTGAGGGTAAAGCTTGAGGCTACGCAGAGGTTGGAGACCCTGCTTCCAACAATAAAAGGGGCCCCAAATCAAGGAGATGGGAAATCAAGGAGATGGCCCTGAAAGAGATGGGACCTCTAAAACACAACTGGGGCCCAGGCAAAAGCTCAACCAAAGGTTCACGGAGAATAATTTAACATCAACTTAGATTGTTTTTGAGACGCTGGCAAGTGGTTAACATTAAGTTTACCAAAAAAGGAACTGAGATACAAACCTTATTGTTAATAATAGCTTCAGAGTCATCAAAGACGAAATCTCCATCGTAGCTCCGTGCGAAACACACGAGGGACACAAATCCCACTACCAGCTTAGCCCAGAAAGGAGGAAGGACAGAAGACGGAATGATGTGGTCCAAACTGGCGTCCAACTCGGCCATTTTGAAAGCTGCAGCCTGCCAGCCTCTGGCTCCAGCATTATGATGGTTAGAAATCTGCAAGAAAAATGACACGATGGAAATATTCATCCACAAGTTGTTAGCAAGTTTCTGCAGCAGGCATATTTAACTTAAGTAAATAAGAGCCAGTCACTTTTGCTTCGAGTTTACAGAATGTGATCATTCAAAACTTTTAAGTTGTGTTTTTCAAACTCTAGTTGGCAGAACCACCTGGGACACACGGAGGTTCTCCTGGGCCCAAATGCGACTTATTAAGTCAGATGCCTTTGGGTTTCTGATACTGGATTATCTTGAGAAATACTGATTCAAAGGGGTCCTACATTTATCAACCTGTAAGGCAAATAGTTCTTTATAGTCCTTGAACCCACTTACAAAGTAAAAAAAAAAAATTTATCATCTTGCTTCATCCAATCGAGAAAAACTGATATTCATTGTTGGCACTCAGCATCCTGCATGTGGGGAGGTGGGTATGAAACGTGGTCCTGATGCTGAAAGAGCTTTTAGTCTGCCTGGGGGACTACACACTCATGCTAATTAGATGAAAAGCTGACAGGGAGGAGTTTAACAGAGGTGAGAGGCTGGGTGCAAAGCTGACAGCAAGCTGAGAGGTTCACGTACACACAGGCAGAGGAAGGAGAGAACATTAGACCACTGGACTAACTGCTTTGGGACAATATCTTTTTCCAGAAAGGGCAGAGCTGTTTCCTAAAGGAGAAGAGAGGAAGCTATTCCAGATGAGGACAGGACCTTCAATACTGGTGAAAGAGTTAAGTTAAAAACATGCACTTATTTCTAACTTTTAAGCAGGCAAAATGTGAAAGCCAGAAACATCTGTCTCTCAGCATTGCCATGTATCAGTTCTGTGGCCATAGTCATGTGACCTGCCTTCTCAGAGTCCACTTCCTGTGCCACTCTGCAAAGCGTAAGAACTTCCTATAGTGAGAGTTGTCTAAGAGCTTTCTGCCTTGGGACTCATATAAATATCAAATGACTCCACAAATAACATTTTATCTGTCTCCATTCCCACCACTCCTCAGTAGGTATTTTCTTTGGATTTATCAGGATTATGTTTGGGTCAAACAGCTCAGGTTCCAATCCTGTGTAACTTTGGAAAAGTTACTTAACCTCTCTGGGCCTCAGTTTCCTCACCTCTAAAACAGGGATGATAACGGTGCCTATGAAACACGGTTGTCAAAGGGCTGAACAAGATAGCCACCTGAAGTGCTGAGAACCACCGCCCGCCAATTATGAATGCTCAGGGAGGTGGCTACTGTCATGAGTACTTTCTTCACGGATGGTAAAGGCATAGGCACAGAACTGTTTACTTTTGAAAATCCTCTTTCGTATTTGGTGTATTGGTACCGAGGCTCTTGTCTTCCCTCCTAAGGGACCTGGCCCCCAGTCCTTTCATGCTGACATGGAAAAGAATCCCAGCCCCTTGATTGGAAGGCAGTTTAGATGTATTTGTTTCGAGGTCTCCAAGGGAATAACCCAGATCGTGGAATCAGTAAGTGAGCCACACAGGCCATCTGAGGTCATGGGCATCTTTTCCGTAGGCTTCTATCTGAGTGACTGTGGAGACAGACCCAACAGTCAACAGAACACAATATCCCACGATAACATTGTCTCTCTACAGGTGCTGAAAAGAAGTCCCGATTTACAATGCTTTAGAGGAAAGGCTTTGCAACTCTCACTGCTGGTCCCCTGGCTTCTCCACCTGAGGGAATATCCCAGCTACTACCTGCTGCCTTTGTTTCTTTTTCACTGAAACGATACACCCTTGGTTGAATAGAAATTATAGCTGCAAACACAATAGGCCACCATGCATACCCCAACCCCTCTGTCAATGTTTCAGCTACAGAAATTTCTCTTGCTACTAAAACAAAAGAAAAAAACAAAATTAATAAATAAGACTGTAGAGTTGGGAAGATCCTATGACTTAAATAGAAGAAATAAGTGTTTTTTGATTTAGAAAATTAATGTGGAGGAAAACAGATACTTTATACCAATTTTAAATGCATAATCGAGCTGTGAGCTGACGAATGGTCTCATGACTGATGCTGATGTTATCTGCTGTAGGCCCAAATATCTGAATATTATTTTAGAAAAGGTTGTCATGGCCTTAAGGAAGAATATTGAATCATCTGTGGTGGTAAATTAGTTGTCCTGCCTCACTTCTGATCACAGAATGTTTATAACACAACTAATAATTTCAGTACTCAGGCCCGCAGCCCAGATGTAAAGAAGGCCGACCGTGGACCTGAACCCCTGAGGTGCCCCGGTTGGCCTGGCCCAGACTCAGGGAGTCACCAGGACGTTTGAGCCCATCTCAGAATGATCGCCTTCCTCTCTTCCACAGCAGAGACAGTTGCGAACCTGGCACCGCCCCGTGCCCTGCCCTCCACCTTACTGCTTCCTGCTGGCTGGCTCCCGCCCCGGGCCCTGCCCTCCACCTTACTGCTTCCTGCTGGCTGGCTCCCACCTCCTCACCGCAGCTTCCCTCTGAGTCTCCAAGGTTCCCACTTCTTTGCTGTCCCTGAAAATGCTCACAATTGCCGGGTTCATGTATGGCGTTATGGTTACTGTGTACAGTGGGATAGTTCAGAAAATACTGCACATGAGCAAATGCAGTTAACAGCTACAGTGTGTTAGGAACCCATGTAAAGCTCTCAGTGTCCAGCCCAGGAGTTAAAAGAACAGGCTCTGGAGACAGATTTTGATCTGTCACCTGCATGACCTTGAGCTACTCAATCTTTCTAAGGACGAGTGCCTCATCAGCAGCATAGGGTATACTACTTACGTCAGGGGGTGTGGTAAGGACTGAAGGAGAGAATGGATGGGAACAATCAGTTCCTGTTATTATTTTGGAGAAACTAGTTCCTTGTACCTAGACCCTGACTGCCTGTCTCGGGAACAGGATGTTGTCATCGGTTGTTAATTCCCACAGCTGGGCTGACCAAGGGCAGCAGCAGCCCATCGGATGACCTGATGCACCTGAGAGAAGGGCACCCTTGTTTTGGGAGGACCCAGGGCACTGCTTCCTGGCCAGGCGTCCCCATGTCCTGCATACACTGCACAGCGTGACAGAGAGATACTGTTCCCAACTCCCCTTTCTCCAGCAGTAAATGGTCTTTGTTCTGCAACGATCCTGGCTTGGCACAGGAGTAAAAGCCTTGCGAGCTTGAGGTGGTACAGACAGGTGGACTGACCCTGTCTACTTTTTTTGATACCCAGGCCATGAAATAGGAAGGCACACGTTCTGTTTTTCTCTTGATGGGCCCTTGAATAGGGCTGCATGGCCCTATTCCTCAACTCCAGGCGATGCCCATGTCCTTCTGGGTAGTCCAGGCTCCTGGGCACCCCTGGATGGTAAATTCACCTCATGCAGTATTAGAAGGGAGCCTCGCTGAGCCCTTGGGCTCAGTCTAAGCAGCACTCCAGCCAGTTTTACCAGAGATAAAGCTCTGCTCTGTTCCCTATCACACTTCTGTACTGATTTTGCACTGTGTTCAGAATTAAGTGGCCCTAGCACTAGTTGAATTTGGAAAGAAGCAGAAGTCTCTATATTCTCAATTTCTCAAACTTCTAACATCAAGCCTCTATTCTCACAGGGCTAAAACAAAGTAATCAATCATCAGTGGAAAGGTAAAAAAATCCCACCCCCAACAAATAAAACAACAGTGAGCTGTGATTGCTGGGGACCCAATGACAATGGACACAGCAGCCTGGCCTGCAGCAAATGGGAATGGGGAGACCAAGTCTAAATGATTTACCCTGGAAAGAGCAGCAGCACAGCACCTACTATGGAATATTCTTCCACATGCACTGAAGGGCCTGCTGGCCTCTGGTTGGCCTTTCTACCTCATCAGTAATAATCCACCCACAGCCTGCTGCCCTGCCAGGCTGAGATGAGACAGGGCCTCTGGAAAGCAGATTAAACCTCTATACAGTCATTTCTGACCCTGCCTCCGGAGATGTGAACTGCTGCACCTCCTTGGGGCCCTCAGGCACGGGAGGGTGTCACCTCCTCAGCCCTCCACCATGCAGGGCTCAACAAAATGTACTCAAAGCATCTTTCTCCTGTGATTGCCATCCTGGTTTTTAATTTAGTGACATGCGAGGGCCATGCTTGCCAACAGCAAGAATGACTTGTGTGTGGCTCAACATTCACAGTTGTGTTATCCTAGAAAGTTTCCAGCTTGCTAGCTTGCAGTCATTTTTCATCCAAGTTAGCCAGTCACTGCACCCCACGTCCATCTGGGGTGCGCCAGGTGCGGTGGGGACTGCAGCGAGAGGGGACAGGCAGGGGACCCACTCGTTACTGTAACTATTTTTCAAGGAATTCTCCCCATCCATCTGCTCTCCCAGGGTAAAGACAATGTGGGCTGATTCACAACAGGCCCGCTAGATCTTTCCTCTTAACTCCTCCCTTCTTTTGTGTGTGGATAAAAAAAGAAAGAAAACACACAGCCCACAGTCACAACATCAAGGCCAGAAGCCCCGCGGAGTTCGCCGGGGGTGAGGCACTGGCGGCTGCGCCACCTGCTCGGCTTTCCCAAACTCCAAGCCCGCGCGGGGAAGGGGCAGCTCGCGGCCCATGACGCCTGGGCCGGTGGCACGCGGTCCTCCCGCCGCTCTGCTCGGCAGTCAGCACGGAGTCGCTGGCACTCGCGGCGCGGCAGGGGAGCCGCCTTTAACTCAGGGCAGGCGGCCAAGAGGCCCGGCGGTGCCCAGCCATCTCGGGCGCCCCGGCCAGCTGGCGGCCAGGCGCGGGGTGGCGCGGGGCCCCGCGGCCAGGTGGCCGCTCCCGAGACGCGCTGCAGGCGCTTGGTGCGCCCCGGGTGGACGAAGCGCTCGCGCAGCGGGGAAGGGCAGGGCTGCGGCGGTGACCGTGCCCCGGGAGAAGGGAGCACAGGAGCCGGGCGCGGGCAGGCGGGGCGCGCACCCTCCACGCCGTCTCCTTTGTCCCGCGTGCTGCTTACAGCGGGGCGCCAGCGGCCCGCGTCCTTCGTGACCCGGCTCGGCTCCACTGGATCCTGGAGCCAACTCCTCCTGCGGCGCCGCCGAAGGGCCCGGGCTGACCCGCGGTGGCAACGGGCATCCCGCACCCACTCCGCTCGTCCCGCGGCGCGCTCGGCCGCGCTTGGCCCTGCAGGGGCCGCCCCGCGCATTACCTGCAAGGAGCCCGAGCGGCGGCCGCATCTCCCTCCCGGGAGCGGAAACTCCAGCGGCTGTCGGTGCCCGCCCAGAGCAGGGCAGCGGGAGGGACCCCGCGCCGCGCCCCCGCATGAGCCGCGCGCCGCCCGCAGCTCGCCACGCGCGCCGCTCTCACACTCACTCTCCCGCCTCTGCCCGCCCCCTCCTCGTGCCCATTGGTTGCTTCTACCGCCACTTTCACGCGGCCGCTGGTCTCTTTTGAGCCCATTGGTGGACACGGCGATGACGTCAGGCCAGGAGGTGCTAGCAGGGCGGCGAAGGCGGTGCTGGGCCACACGGACCCAGCCGGCGAGGAGGGTGTGGAGCTGTGGGCGCGGGACCCGGCTGGGCCGCGCGGGAAGGGGCGGCCGGCGCGGGTGCCGAGTCTCCTGGCTGCCTTCCGGGCGCGGCGCCGACTCCAGGCCTGCATTGCGCTGGCGCCGCGCTCGGCGGAGAGACTGCGGCGTGTCCGCGGGAAAAGGAGCCGTATCGGAACAGCCAGAACTCTAGATGTCTTCCTGCTTGGGAGGAGTGGTTTCAAACGTGTGTGTGTCCACTTTCCGCCTCTCGGAGCAGACCAGGAACTGCGTGCTCGCTTCCCAGGGCGTGTTGCCTGGGCTTCTGTTTGTAGCGGACTCTTCTCCGGCCCAGCTCGTCCTGCCCCTGCTGACCCACGAACCGCCGGGGCGCGTCACCGGACTGATCCACCGCCCCTCGCCCCTCGCCTACAAGTCACTTTGTCCTGAACTCCCACGACCAGCCTGGTTGCATTCCGTGCGCCGTTACCCGCTTTCTCATAGGTTACTTTGTCTCTTGCTTCAAGAGAAACACCAGTTTCTGCCCCAAAGCTACAAACTTAGCCGTAAAAGCACAGACTCCATCCCCCTCCCCTACCTTTTTCTTCAGTATCACTGAGTTCGATCTAAGGTCAGCCTTTCCCTCCTGACCAGGTCGGCATCCACCGCGTTTTCCCAGTCCCAGACCTCCCTGTACCGCACGTACACTTCCAGCTCCCCGCCTCCCACTCTGCACGGCTGAGCTGGAGCGACGGCCGGCCCTGCTTTTCTAGTCGTTCTGCTCCTACTCGCGTCTTGGTTCCCGCTCTCTCCTGAAACTGCCTCTGCTCTGGCTATCAATAACACCCGCAATCACTAATGCAAAGGACACTCTCCTTCCTCTTTTTACCTGATCTTTTTGCAAAATTCATTCTTCCTCTTTAAAACCTGTGCTGCTTTTTAATGATAGCCTGTGTTCTGCTCTCCTATTTTCTCCTAATTTCCTTGACTTGATTACCTGCTGGATGACTTCAAATGACATATTTCAAGGTCTCAGCCCTTTCACGCCACGTCTTTCCCTGTATGGTTTGATCCATTGCCAATATTTCAATCAATATATCCCAAATTTACAACTCGGGTTCTTCTCTGAGCCCCATACCCATTTATTAAGCTTCTTGTTTGCCTTCTCAGCCTGGTGGTTTGGCCTGCCCCTCAGAGGGAAGCCATCCAAAATGAAATGTGTGCTTTCACTGCTGTCTCCTCCGCAGGGGGGGTCCCTGTGGTAGTGATGACATCACCACCTGTCCAATATTTCCCAAACTTCCTTCTTCTTTGACATCTAACAAATCCTCAAGATTCTGTTTGCTAAATGCCTATCAAGTCTGTCCCCTTCTTTCCATTTCCACTGCTACATACAGTGCTATGCTATGGTTCATATGTCTTCCTAACCCATATTCAGTGATGTCCCATTGGTAGATTGCAATTGGCCAGTGTGGAGGTATTTACACCATAGAAATTGGCAAGCATTACGAATCAGGGCTTGCTTTGTTGTTTTGCTGGTTTTCTCAACTTAAAAAAGTGATGGAGAAAATATTAATAATGCAAATTAAACTTAAAAATGTGTTGCACTTAGTGTTGAGAAGAAAAGATTTTAGTTTAATGGTTTAATTTGGACAGGGGTGAGAAACAGTAATCAAGAGTATGGGTTGGAATAGATACTTCTTTTCCTCTTGAGGTAAAGAATATTGAAGAATGCTAAATAATGTAAGCCTCCCATTCATGTACTGTCTAATTTTTTAGCAACATCTTATCTTTTCACCTTTTCACCCAAGTTCAACAAATGAGCTCTCTACTCTCTCTTTAAATTAACTACCTACCTTCTTTCATTTATTGTACATTTTCCTCCTTGTGAGAGGCTCATGATCATTTCTATTTTTAAAATTCTCAAACTTCACAACAGTTGGTGAAAACTTCTGTAGGTCAATCAGTATTTGCGAAGTGTAGATATTTTTTTGGTCTAAATATTAAAAAGGCCTCAGAAAGAAATGCTAAATGGTTTTATTTACTTAATCTTAGAGCATCCTATTTTACATAGTATTTCCATAAATTTTCATTTTTAATGTGCATCTTCAACACTAGGTGTGTAATAATAAATTAAGCAAACAAGCTTGTAGAGCCTTTGTAGTTATATTTGAATCTAAACTTAAAGTCCTAAAATAACTGGAGGACAGTGTGATGTCAAAAGAATAAATAAAAAAGTAACACAGAATGGTTGCTTTGGGCCAATACTGTCCAACCCATGCTGTGTTTATCAGTTCATTTGGTTTAAGGAGCCCTACCATTGTTCCCCTTTTCACAATTGAGGCACAGCAACAAGTGCTATGTGGGAGAGCTTGGATTTAATGGCAGCTGGCCAGGAAAGGGTTATGCTTTCACCAGTTTACTCTCTGGTGCCTGCTTGGCCTGGGGTGCACATCCACCAAGAATTATGCAAGTTCCTTCTCAAAACCTGCCTTTCTTCTTTTCAATCTTCCTTTGCCCGCCCCTTGGTGTCCTCTCTTCTCCTTAGCCCAGCTATCTCACCTTAAATCTCTATTTAAAATAAACATCACAATAATGTAATAATGAACAATACTAATAGTTAATCTTCACTGAGAGTTTAGAATATGTCAGGCACATGATACATGTGTTCATGTATTTTTTTTTTTTGTATGAACCTAATAACCCCTCAGAGTGCACTACTGTCACTGATTTTACAGATGCGGAGGAAATTTGATTCTAAGAGATGTGAAGTAGCTCCCTCAAGGGCATGCAGAAAGCAAGGTGTGGAGCTGGGATTTGCACCGGACAACATGACACCAGATCCATGTTTTGAGTCATTACACAAGATCACCTCCCATTTGATTACTGTTTTTTCAATTTTTTGCTTTTCTCCTCTAAAAAAAAAAGGAATCTTCCCAATATGCTCTCCTTTCTTTGGGTTATCAAATTCTTGCTCTTTAGCTTAAGTTTTATGGTCTTTGTCAGACTGCCACCCTTCTTCCTACATTTTTAATAACCAGCTACATTTCCATGATTATACTTTACGCCTTAAAACAACAGACATTTATTCTCTTGTGTTCAAGAGGCTAGAAGTCTGCAGTCAAGGTGTCACAAAGTGTTGATTCCTTCTGGAGGCTGTGACGGAGGATCTTTTCTGCATTCCTCCCCAACTTCTGATAGTTGCTGGCAATCCTTGGTGTTCCTTGGCTTGTAGATTCATCACTCCACTCTCTGCCTCTGTTGTCATGTGATGTTTCTTCCCTGTGTGCTGTCTGTTTCCCTGGCCTTCCTCTCTTACGAGGGTACCACCAACTGTATTGGGTTTAGAGCCTGCCCTACTCCAGTGTGACCTCATCTTAGCTAATTACATTTGCAAAGACTGTATTTCCAAATAAGGCCACATTCTGAGGTTCTGGGAAGGACATGAATAGAGAGGGCCACTATTCAACCTAGTACACCCAGTAAAAGGATACACCGCCTACTTCCCCTCTTATTTGCAAACTTTAACCACTTTTTCTTATCAGCAGCAGTCCCTCACTTCCCAGTCTCTCCACTGAATATCTCATATATTTCAGCATTAGTTTTCCAGATGATGCTAACCCTATATTTATTGATGTAATACAAAACAAAGATACTAAGTAAGTATCTAATAGAAAAAGCAAAATATAGATAACATAGGAGTGCTGGAATGTATTAATAGACGAGGCTTCACCTCCATCCAGTGCAAGTCTCAGGTCACTCAGTTACCATTTGGGAGAAGTCATTCTCATGAACTGTTTTGGTGCATAACTTGACCCTGGAATTATTAAGGCCGATTCAGGGAGCAGGTATTGACACACATTAAGAACAGAGGAGGGAATTTTAAGTTACACAGGCAGCTTCTCTGATTTCCTTTTTTGTTTCAGTGGAAGCTTTTGAATAGGATATCCAGTTAGGCAGAACTGAGATTTTGTTACAGAGAAGTTACCAGCACTTGTCTAGGTGAGCCTCTGTAGCAAGTCTCTTTAAAGTAGGTTGTTTTGGGGGTAAGGTGGGGTGGGGAAGGGAGTCACTTCAACAGTCCCTCTCCATCCTACATGTTAGGTGAGTAGAGATCCCATTAGCCTGGAGGAAGATGCCATGGAGTGTTATTTTTGGGGGGCTAGACTTTATTCTGAAAACCCTGGGTGGAAGAAATCATTACTAAATCAGAAGGTGGGTGGATTTGAGAGGAAAGGCATTGACAGTCATCTCCCACTCTTTCACTACTGAGATGCTATGTTCTTGAGGCTTTTTCTGGTGAATCAACGTGGCTCTGACCTAGTTAAAGTCAGCTGATGGGAAAGGTCACCAAGGACTCAAACGGGAAATCATTTATCTATTAATCTATTTGTCTTTCTATCCATCTATCCATTATGTATGTATGTATGTATGTATGTATGTATGTATGTATGTATCTAGGTGGGAGGTATCTGGGCTCAGCACGAGTCTTAAATATTTGTGGACTTCCTAAATCTAACTGTTCTGGCAGAGTGTCATACTGGAAAAAATGGCTGAGCACGTGGTTGAACAAAGGTGAAATAACCTTAAGGTCCAGGTGTAGGACACAACTGTGTCTGAAATCAAGGAGCCATAACTGCTCATTGGGTATCCACTGGGCATGGTGATGGATTTGATCTGCAAACTCAGGTTTTCCTCTGTCTGGTCCTCTGGGGTAAAGTAATTGAACTTTGAATTCTTGACACTGAGATGGCAGGCATAAGAAAGCTTTCCAGAAGGAGATAATGGAATTTTTGATAAATAGACTGGTAAGGGCTCAAGCAAGAAGTTAGAAAAATGCATACAATAATGACCTTGATTTTTTCCCAGGTTGGTAAAACAGCTGTACTAGTTACAAGGCATTCAGCAACATTTTTGCCTGATGTTCTTCTTGGCTACAGGTCACCCCCAGTGAATCTTTTCTTTTTCTCTTCTTGATGTGAAAACTCTGGCTTTCTGCCTAGAACTGGGTAGCGTGATCTCATTCAAAACAGACGATGACACACATTCTGATTGTTTTCTTCTGACATTTCCCAAAGTGCACTCTGTGTTATTCTTTGTAGTATTTACTTTATAAAATGCAGAGATGCTGTCATCTTTCCAAAGTAGTTGGTATGCAAAAGGCCTAGGTATACTCTGGAACTGTTGTAAATGTTGTTATTG